AGTGGTTTGAATAAAATAAAACCGAAGCAGCATCAATAAAAAAATGTCCAACATAAATGTTAAACATTTATGGACTTACTTTCCGAAATGCCTCCCCAGTGTTGTAAGAGTATTAGGAAGAATATGTTAATTATTGCACATTTGTAAGGTCAGCTCTTTGTCCCAGATCTTGCACATTGCTGTGATGACCTGCGGTCGGTTTCACTGTCTTTCAAATGTAGTCTTTAGGCTAGTCCCAAACCATCTCTAATGGATTTAAAGCAAATTCTGCTAGCTTTTTCACCCAGTTTATCCATTGCTGTATGTTTTGGAGTACTGTCTACAGTGTCTATATCCATAGTGCTCTCTGATGATATTGTTTTTAAGTAAATGGTACTGAAATTAATAAAAATAGGCAAGTTAAAGAAAATAATAAAGTCTGTTTATTAATCCAGAATGGCCAAGCGCAAACTTTCCCAGTTCTGTAAAGGTTCTGTGAGCTGGAGAGATTCTCTTTATGCAGCAGAAACCATACTTTCAGCACAATGCTACAATAATTATGACAAAATGTTTTTTTTTTTATTTATAATATGCTGATGTATTACTTAGCAATGTTTTCATTCAGCGTTTTTTTTCATTTTGCTTTATTTTGGAAACACTTTTGGTTTGTTTGGTTTTACAGCTTTTGCAAACAATTGTTACATCAGTAATTTTAATTATTTGCTTTTTATATATAATGTTTAAGTGTTATGTATACTATTTATTTGCAGTGTGATGGAAAATTAAACTTCCGATCAAATAAATCCACCCCTTAACAGCGCTTGTAGTTTTTAATGTAGCTCATGGCACTAAACAAGTTAGAAACTACTTTTTCCAGTAACCCACAAATTCAGTCATCCAATCATTGTGACACATTGGCTGTTCAGTAGGAGAATTCTCACCTACCGTGCATGAGGCCCAGGTTCGTATCCTGGCCAATGCACAAGCTGCACTTTCTCTAAGAAATTGCCTCTTGGGGGTAAAAAAGACTTTCTCTCTAATAAATATAAAAATAATATGTGTACTTTATTAATATTAATAATAAATGTAGTAATGATTATGTAAAATAAAAGTTGAATCACCATTTGAAAAAAAAATACAAAATGTGTAAGTGGTTTGAATATTGGGATACAATTTACCAGAATTTCATTTAATTTAACACATTATCTGATTTATAGCCATTTGTTATAGATAAAATAAACAGACTGTGAGGTTTAAAATCACATTTATGTTTTTAAAGCAATATAGGTAGATATTGATCTTTCTTGTATTTGCCCTTTGCATTAATACAATAATAGATCATCTTAGTTTAGAGATATCCACATTAAAAATGAAAGTAAAATGGGTTTTCAAATATTTTGGACTGAGGCAGTTTATGTTATAGCAATTGTGATCGGTTCTAAATAAGCAAAGTTGGTCTTCCACCTCCAAAAACTATTATCAAAATGTACTTCAGGAATAATAAAGCTTCCACAATCTTGCAGATAGTTACATTTACTATATGACAGCCTATTATCAATTCTACTTTGCACTTGGTAAATCTAGGCTACCTAAACTTGCCCCTTAATTGTCCTCAGTTCGAAAACCTTTAGACTGCCACATATTATGCACTGTACATATTCCATGATCGCTAATACAATTCATTACCATAAGAGAGATATTTTTTTCCACTAATATTGGTCATATATACAGTGGTGTGAAAGTGTTTGCCCCCTTCCTGATTTCTTATTTTTTTGCATGTTTGTCACATTGAAATGTTTCAGATCATCAAACAAATTGAAATATTAGACAAAGATAACACAAGTAAACACAAAATGCAGTTTTTAAATGAAGGTTTTTATTATTAAGGGAAAAAAAAATCCAAACCTACATGGCCCTGTGTGAAAAAGTGATTGCCCCCTAAACCTAATAACTGGTTGGGCACCCTTAGCAGCAACAACTGCAATCAAGCATTTGCGATAAATGGCAATGAGTCTTTTACAGCGCTGTGGAGGAATTTTGGCCCACTCATCTTTGTTGTAATGGCCCACTCAGAATTGTTGTAATTCAGCCACATTGGAGGGTTTTCGAGCCTTAACCGCTTTTTTAAGGTCATGCCACAACATCTCAATCGGATTAAGGTCAGGACTTTGACTAGGCCACTCCAAAGTCTTCATTTTGTTTTTCTTAAGCCATTCAGAGGTGGACTTGCTGGTGTGTTTTGGATCATTTTCCTGCTGCAGAACCCAAGTGCGCTTCAGCTTGAGGTCACGAACAGATGGCTGGACATTCTCCTTCAGGATTTTTTGGTAGACAGCATAATTCATGGTTCCATTTACCACAGCAAGTCTTCCAGGTCCTAAGGCAGCAAAACAGCCCAAGACCATCACACTACCACCACCATATTTTACTGTCGGTATGATGTTCCTTTTCTGAAATGCTGTGTTATTTTTACGCCAGATGTAATGGGACACACACCTTCCAAAAAGTTCAACTTTTGTCTCGTCAGTCCACAGAGTATTTTCCCAAAAGTCTTGGGGATCATCAAGATGTTTTCTGGCAAAACTGAGACGAGCCTTTATGTTCTTTTTGCTCAGCAGTGGTTTTTTGTCTTGGAACTCTGCCATGCAGGCCATTTTTGCCCAGTCTCTTTCTTATGGTGGAGTCATGAACACTGACCTTAACTGAGGAAAGTGAAACCTGCAGTTCTTTGGATGATGCTGTGGGTTTTTTTGTGACCTCTTGGATGAGTCGTTGCTGCGCTCTTGGGGTAATTTTGGTCAGCCGGCCACTCCTGGGAAGGTTCACCACTGTTCTATGTTTTCGCCATTTGTGGATAATAGCTCTCACTGTGGTTCGCTGGAGTCCAAAAGCTTTAGAAATGGCTTTATAACCTTTTCCAGACTGATGAATCTCAATTACTCTGTTTCTCATTTGTTCCTGAATTTGTTTGGATCGCAGCATGATGTCTAGCTTTTGAGGATCTTTTGGTCTACTTCACTTTGTCAGGCAGGTCCTATTTAAGTGATTTCTTGATTGAGAACAGGTGTGGCAGTAATCAGGCCTGGGTGTGGCTAGAGAAATTGAACTCAGCTTTCCAAACTGCATTTTGTGTTTACTTGTGTTATCTTTGTCTAATATTTCAATTTGTTTGATGATCTGAAACATTTCAGTGTGACAAACATGCAAAAAAATAAGAAATCAGGAAGGGGACAAACACTTTTTCACACCACTGTATGTACTGAGGAGCATTTGATTTTTTCCAATATCACATTTATATATTTATGATCATATACCTGTCTGATCCATATAAGGTTTCCTGAATCCTCTAAAATTCCATTATTAGTAGTTAAATTGTCATTTTAAATCCAAATATTGTAACATATTTGAGATATGTGTGAGGAATTGAATAAGGGAGGTTATAATTATGAATAATAAAAACAAGTTCATGGATACATTTCATGATGTGATATTACACACATACACAATCCTTTAATGACAGACCATAAACTAGTGTACCACATCTAAATACATTGCCAATAACAAAACCTCATTATGGAAAAATCATCTATATGACTGTTTTGTCAATGCCTGTTACACTACTTCAGAAACACCAGGTTGCAGTAGACAGACAATGACTTTGCTTGCAGGCCAAGTATAATCAGTCCTCCGCGGAACTGTTTACATTTGTTATCACCATGGAATAGCAGAGCTATGTAATTTATTGTACAATGAAAGGAATACAGAATTTATTCAAATCTGGTGAGCAATTTACACATGTACTTTAAAATAGAATATTCACAAAACTTTCATTGCTGAGGAGTCTCAAAAGTCAGGATCCCAAAATGTACTGGGACATACACAGAAAGAAAATATTTCTTGTTTAACTTGTTTCACCTACACCTAAAACAAAGGGTAGGAAGTTATGGTGAAATATATCCAAAGCATCTCTCCTTCTGTATTATTACTGTATTAAGGCAACATCATCTTTCTTTCTGTGCAGATATTCTGAACAACTAATGTACTTGTGAGGGCTTTTTAATGTTTAGTTCAGGTAGGTAGCGTCAGCATACGTAGGCTGCAAAGAAACAAGTAAAGGTTTATTCCATGCTGAAAAGAGAAGAAAGGAAACACAATGTTTCAGCTGTGGAGCCTTCTTTGGGTGTCAAGTTCTTCTGAAAGTTAAAAACTAAAATCTCTTTTCTGGGATGTGAATATAATTTCTGTTTTTTCCCCCTATAGGAAGTGGTTTAAACATAAGCATGGCACAGACGGACAATGGAACATCACATAATGGTTATGTTCCTCATTATCTTCTAAGTGGTGATCCTTTTGCCTCAAAACTATCAAAGGAAGCAGATTTTGTAGCTGCATTCTACATCTGCATTGTAGGTAAGAGGCTGTTTAAAACACGGCAAACACATACTAATGTCAATGTATGTTTCAGAAATGTTTCTGTGTTGAACATGTTTGTAGTTTCTGAATCAGCATTCAGAGACACGATTTCACATGTGTTTGTGAACACAGAGAGGACAATGCTAAATATAATAAATGTACTAAATATAATATTAAATACAGATCCAGCGCAGAGTACGCTGCATCAAAACGTGGTGGACGTGGGGCATCATACCACAAGCAAATTGAAATATGATAATAGTATACAGAAGCACCTTGTAAAACTGGCAGGTGGAGCTAATAAAGTTTAATGTCTCATGTACAGGGTTCACCAGAAAACACCCGGTTTTGAATCCCGGTCACTCCTGAGGGACAATCTTTTTACAATTAAGAATTAAAGTTGTATACTCTTTAAATTTTTAATAATTTTAAACTGTGTATTAAAGCATGTTAATCATTAAATATTTAAAGATGGTATATTTTATAAAAGCAAGACTGCTCTGTTGGACAAAAGTACACAACCTTCCACCTTCATAAATAAATATTTTAATTATGCATAAATATTTTATGCATCAAACTCTTTAACTTGGTAACTTAAATGGGTTCTAGTTTTAATGTGCTTGGTCTAACATTATTAAGCTTATATTCTGTCCTTCATGAAAAGTTATAATGTTTTATCCTTTTTCTAAGAATACGCAGTAAGAACATCACTTGCTGTTATTGTAAAAAGATACAATGTGGTGATTTAACATCACTTGATAGTTATATTAATATGGAATTGTGTAACTAAGCAGCTAAAGTATCACAAGTGGACGTTTTGGAAACATTTTGACATTCGTTTCTTAAAAAAAAAAATCTATTGTCCTTGTGATGGCAATGAGCACAGTAATGTAGCGAGCTGAACCCAGGTCGTTCAAAGCCCGATCAGAGCCAAATGCATGAAAATAGTCCAGTATTATAGCTTATTGTGAACATTATGGGTCTCTTTCAGGTTTACACCAGAATTGAGAAAATCTATATTTTGTCTTAATCCAAATGTTAGCAGCCAGTAATCAGCCACCAATATAACCTGGAATTTAAAAAAAAAAAACTTGCACTATATACAGTAGTACACCGCCTGGGATTGAACCAGGTCTATCTGCATCATTCAACAGGGAACCAGCTGGCTGGGCTAAAGGAGACCACAGCCCAGGCGCCTCATTTGCTCTGGGAGGTTGTGTCTGGCAAAATTGGTTCCGGGGTGTGTATTTTGTGTGATGGTTTTGTGTTTAAACATTTCTTAATGTAAATCTTTAAGTTAAACAAGGGAGGGGAAAATGCTTATTTTTTTTACAATTGCAGTTATCAGAGAACAACCTTACAACACAATGGGCAAATTATTATTTTTTTTTAATTAAAAAATAAGATACAATGACGTGTTCCTGCCTTACTCAAACATTGCACCACTTTAAAAACTGTAAAAATGGTTTAGATAGTTAAAAAACACTTTTTAATTTAACGTTTAAAATACTTGAATTTCATAAAAGTTGTACTGATTTAATACCTCTTCATAGTAATATTAATATGGAGTCATGTAACTAAGCAGGTAAAATATCACAAAGGGACAATTTGGAAATAATTGACGTTCGTTTTAAAAAATATATAAATTATTGTGCTTATAGTGGTAATAGGCAATGGACTGTCATGTAGTGCGCTGCATCCAGGTGGTTCAAACCCTGATAAGAGAATTACTGTTTCTTACATAACCAAATATATAAAAATAGTCCACTATTATAGCTTGTTGTTGGCTCTGGCGTGAATTTATGTATCTGGATAAATTAAGTGATGGTATTGTAATTAAGGATTTCTTCGCAAAATTCTTTAAGTTAAACAAAGGAGGGAAGAAAAGTTATTTTTACAATTGGCACTCCGTGATTCTGTCTGATTTAATTCCCCTCATTTAGCTGAAATGGATAAATAAATCATGCAATAGTTATATGTATTGGAAGGCGCTCTATTTTATTAACACACTACTCAAACCTGTGTTGTACATGGATATAGACATGGGCAATGTCATCCGCATTAAACAATGTGCTTATCGTGAAAATCCTGCTAAACTAGAAATTAGACACAAGAAGAGTATTATTGGACAATGTTGTGTGGCTCGGGTGAAATTTCTCTGTAAACTGAAGAGTTATAGAGGAGACGTGTATTGCCTCTTTTTACACTCGTAAGAACATTCCAATGTTAATGCAACACAAAAGATAATAAACTTTTAAATCTGAAGCTGTTAACTCTACTTCACACCTGCAAAAAACATCAAACCTTTGATTGGATGAGAACGTCATGATTGTTTTGCAAGGATGTGAAACATGACAATTTGTTACAGTTACCATCAGGAGAAAAAAATAATTATTTGTGGGTGCTGCAGTGGCTTGCAATGGCTGGATAGTTAACACTTCAAAATTTGAAGTAGGGAAGGGGGGAGCTCTCCTTGACTGCTGACACTCCTCTGTACGCTTAAGTGAAAAATTTATAAAAACGCCAATGTAAACGTCACATTTACAATTTGTTGAAAATAAAAATGTAAACTTCTCTAAAGCTTTCTCAGTCAAGAACGAGAATTCACGTAGGGAGCTGTGTAAGCATGAATAGGCAGCAAAAGATCAGCTAAAAAGGGAAGAAAATGCTTTCAGAGAAAAAATTTTTTCAGGTGTGAACAATAGAGCACCAATTCAATTGCAGCCTAAACCTTTCCCCGCACACCCTGCCCTCGCTGCGATTGAAATATACACAAACACAGCACTAAAAGCTTTATTGTAGATGATCAGGTGTTTCGCAGACGTAGGGATAGTACGCAATTCTGGCTTTATGAACTCACACCTGGGAATCGATTAATTCAAAATACTTTTTTTTTTAATTGCAAGGTGGTAGATCTTGTTTATATTAAAGTTATATCATTGGGCAGTGGTGGACGGTTAGTGGATGGTGCGCTATTTTTTACAGCAACCTGCTAATCTGTTTAACACCTGTAGAATACATTATTATATTTCTGTATGGAATGCGTGTTGAATTTACAAAATTAAAATGTGTTTAAAATGTTTAATTAAGAAGTAAAAAGAACTTCCAGCTTACACAAAAACTCGAACCACCCGTTTTTTGTGCATGAAAAGTGTTTTTGACTGATTTATATACAGTATTTTCATGTTGATTTAAGTGTCCTTTTTTCAGTTGGATTGATTATTGTTATGATTTCTCTATTATTATCGAATCCCTCAACTTTTTCACTTGTGATTATTTTGGAAACATTTTGACATGTTCCTTTTAATTACATTGCTGTTGATACTGTTGCAATTGACAATGAAACGCTCAGAGTATGTAATGTAGGACGCTCTGAACGAGTTAAGCTTTGATGCAGTACAAATAAATGTATTTCCAACAAACTATACTGTAGTGGCTTTAAAAATACACAATACCGCACTGTTTGCATTTTTTTTTGTTTTAAAACTACAGTATGGAAAAACTAGTGTTTAGAAAAAACAGGACATTTGTTTGCTGGCTGCCTTATGTTAAACAGCAACAATGACAACAGTGCATGCTACTGAAAATTCATTCCCATCCCCCAGAACTGTCTATTCTACATAACATTTCACATCGGGGTGTTGACAGTCCTAGCCTTTGTGAGAAATACGGAGCTGTGTTACATAAAGTAGCTGCAATGGAATATACTAGTAGGTAAAAGTTAATTCCAAGCTGGAAAGAAAAGACACAACATGTCCCCTTTATGAAACTTCAGTTTACAGACCGTCCAAGGTCATTTATTATGAATAATATCTTCAAAATATTGCATTAAAATTGTAAAATTTTTGATAAGTGTAAATCAACCTATTTTCTAACTGCCTTATCCAGGACATATAACAGTTTCACCCCTCCCCCTTCCCTTTGCCTGTCTTGACTTATTCCTATTTTTAACCATTCTGTGTCCGAATTGCAGAGGGTGAGAGAGAGTAGGGAGAGACAGAAAAAAAGTGAACCCTGGTTCAAAAGGCTTCAACTGATGCATAAAAAATATAGCATAATGCCTTCTCGCATTGTGAAGTCATTTGCACCTGGGATCCACTTTATTCAAACTAAGGTTTCTAAAAATGCAACCAGGTACTACATGTTGTTTGAATAGAAGCTGTGAAATTTTTCACAAATCGCAATCTTTAAACCTGTAGGTTACAGGCTCTATGGCATTTGTCTCATAAAAATGTATTTTAATAAATGAAGCTTATGAAAACCAAAGAAAAAATTGACTCTGAAAAAGATACGAGAAGCTTGAAATTATTATTATTAAATTAATACTGTTAATAATGACCAGACACATTATTAGAGTTTCAGTGGTATTTTTAATACCGCTTTGTTATTCTTGATTCTAATTATAATATACGGATGCAGCCATTCAAAGTTCGCGGTACAAACCCGTACCACACACAGCTACGCACAAGCCACAGCGCCGTACCACGGTAAGTGATTGGCCGGCCAAAGTGACCGACAGGGGCACTCGTGGTGCATTGGTTGGTAGTGAAAAGATTTGATCATTTAATCTCTTTACTGTGCACATTTTAATCCGCTTAGTATTGAATATTTATATGGAATTTTACAACTAAAGGGAAATTGTAGTAGCTGAGCATATAAAGAATAGGAGCATAACGCATCCGAAGGTCATAAATGATATTAATTTAGGAACATAAACATATTATGTAAACTGTATATTCCCGGTATTGGTAGTTTAAAGAAAAAATACTCACCAGTATTCCATTTCTCCCTAAACATTTTAAGCATCAAAGTCTTACATGTGGTTATTTCGGAAATGTTTTTACGTGCTCCTTCTGACCATATTACTGTATGTTTATATACTTTGTGAAAATGTATCGTTTTAACCTTTTCTGCGAATATGCTCGATATCCCAGTAAACAAAAGCATACTTTTAGAATTTGATTAATAGGGAGTATAATATGAAATCGCAGATCAAA